CTACTAGTACTCTCTCTTATATCCATCAGTTCGTTGTTACCAACCTCTTTCTTCACCGTTTCTTTTGAAGTAGCAATGCTTCTCTCCGCAGTTTCGACATTAGCGATTCTTCTTGAAGCCTCTTGCAAGATTTGATTTATTTCGTTACTAGCTTCGACTTCGGTTTTACCTTTACCTTTCTCCATAACTCTTCTCCTATTCTTTTTCTCCTTAGAATTCCACAGATTCACCTTCTCAGCTATTCCCATCAAACTGTTTCCTTCTACATTTTCCTCAGTTTCTCTCCTCTCTTCTCTACTTTCCTTCTCAATAGGTTTCTTTAAATCGCTCTTCGCGATTATCTCTTTCAAAACCTTTTCCTCTGCTTGTGCAGTAACTTCTTGAGGGCTCATGTTTCTATCATCAATCTCTTTGGACTTAGTTTCTACAGAAACACAATCTTCCTTTTTCTTCCTTCTTACTACTTTCTCTGCAAACACAAACTTCCAATTTTCTTGAGGATTAATGTTTCTTTCCTCAATCTTTGAAGTAGTAATGCTTCTTTCCGCACTTTCGACATTAATGATTCTTCTTGTAGCTTCTTCCAATACATCATTAATCTCAACTCTCTCTGTATTACCTTTCCCTTTCTCCATCCCTCTTCTCCCATTCATTTTCTCCTCTGAGTTCCATAGATTCACCTTCTCAGCTATTCCCATCAAAGCATTCCCTTCTACACTTTCTTTAGCAATACCTTTATCCTTCGTCTCTCGCTTTTCGCCTCTCCCTTCGAGATTTTCTTTAGCAATAGCTTTCTCCTTCGTATCCTGCTTTTCTCCTCTACCTTCAAGACTTTCTTTAGCAATTGCTTTCTCCTTTGTATCTCGCTTTTCGCCTCTCCATTCAAGACTTTCTTTAGCAATACCTTTCTCCTTCGTCTCTCGCTTTTCGCCTCTCCATTCAAGACTTTCTTTAGCAATACCTTTCTCCTTCGTCTCTCGCTTTTCGCCTCTCCCTTCTTTAGTTTCTTTCTGAATGGTTTCTCCGGCAGATTTCTTCAAACCATTCTTATTCTCTGCAGTTTCACTTAAGACAGCTTTCTTCGCAGGAATCACCTCCTGAATCTCCTTTAAATCACTCTTCTCAATCGTTTCTTGCAACACCTTCTTCTCTATAGCCTTTTGAGCCTCTTTATCCAAATGCCGACCCCGAGAAGACACAGAACTAGAAGAAGCTCCAGTCTCAATGATCTCAGTATTTGTCTTATATTTACCCCTGCATTTCATCAACTCCATAGCTCAATAACTCCCCAAGAACTGCAAAACAAAAATCATAAACTTCAGGTTACCTACCTGAGATGATGCATCACCTCAGACACTCGTGGCGACCGGTTTAAATCAGATCCCGCTGATGTTGATTTACACCGATGTCTATCTTGAATCGCAATGCACCTTTCGTAACATCGAATCCTAAGCGTCGACTAAAACACAAAGCAATCAAATCATTAGCCCTAATGAAACCCTAAACAGTCTAACACTAATTTTAAAGAGACATCAAGCATTATTATACATACCTGAATCCGTCCGCGATGCGTGAACTTCGAAACAACATGTCGATCTAATAAACGAGCCAATTCATTTTCTCGATCACGCGTCATTTGCACCAATAAATCAGCAAATGCTTGTCTTCCTCTTATTCTTGGTGAACAAGCAACCTGAGGAAAACATCTAGTTTCTGTTGTCTGAACTTCTTTACTATTGTCATTGCTGCTGCTTCCTCCATTATCGTTATTCGTCGTTGTCTCAGAGTCGTTGCTTAGTTTTCGAATAATATCCATAACTCTTACACCTTCCCTCTCTTTATCTCCAGACTCTGGAGGTAAAGGAGGAAGAAATTGTGAATCACATTCCACC